ATATAGTGGATTATTAAAATATTACTTATTACAGGGTTCTCTCCATTATAGAGCATTATAGAGTAGGGATATAAACAACAAAACTAAAGTATCATACGGCCAGACTTTTTTTATTCCTTGTTTTTTTTGAAGAGGGCGAAAAAAATTTTTTTCCATTAGATTTGTGTGATTCTCAAAGAATTGTAAGTGAGATCATTGATGGGAGAGAAGAAATGAAATAAAATTTTATTTCATGTATAACCTTGTTTCTGATCTGCGCGAGACTTCGGTCCTTTGATCATGATACTCCCACGAAAATGCAACTTGGATTTGTTATGCGGCGGGCGGTAAAAAAATGAAGATAAATATAGCTGCAAGCAGCGATTACCGGCTTTCGATGTCATGCCTGAGTTAGCGCTGAATTGCATTTATGCAACATAGTTATGACATTACACTTCTGTAATATCTAGGGTAGTGGGGACATGTACTGTGATCTGTTTACTATATACTGTAGGCAAATTGATCACAATGTGTGTTGATCTAGTCACAGCATGGTGAACTGATTACACTATATGAATTATATGACCATATATGGTCATTGAACATGTTAGCAATTTATCTTGTTCAATGCTGTCAATATAGCATTGGTTCCATGTTTGTACTTGCAATAGTGCCTGAGATATTAGTAAAATGCACATTTAATGAGCTATATGACCATATATGGTCATTGAAAAATTTAGCCATTTTTCTTGTACAATGCCTTCAATATGGCATTATTTTCATATCTCTAACTTCATTAGTGATCGAGATATTATAGATATGCATATTTAATGAGTTCTATGACCATATATGGTCATTGAACATTTTAGCCCTTTCTTATTTCCGATGCCTTCAATATAGCATTGGTTCCATGTTTGTACTCGCAATAGTGCCTAAGATATTAGGGATATGCATATTTAATGAGTTCCATGACCATATATGGTCATTGAACATTTTAGCCCTTTCTTATTTCCGATGCCTTCAATATAGCATTGGTTCCATGTTTGTACTC